GAAACGAAACTTCTCAGAGGTCCACTGCTATTTCATTCTTTCTCCAGCAGGATCAGAGAATGAGCCAAAGGGAGCACAAGGCAGAGCTCTGGCAGTGTCTTCTGCCCTTTCCAAGCGTGGGTGAAAGATCTCCCTACATGGGAGAGTAAGGCTGAGATATATGTCAGTGAGACTTAAGGAAATTGACTATAGGCTGAGAGAAGAGCCCTGCCTCTCATAACACTGGTCTTATTTAAGTAAGTTTTAGAAAGCTAGCTGCTTTCTAATGCTGAGAAACTAAAATTAGGGTCTTCCCTTTGTAAGCTTATCTAGTATTCATGTGATTTACTTGACTGAAACTCAATGCAGTATTAGTTTCTGAAACTCCAACAATCTCCAGTAGTCAATAAATAAATGAACGCATATCTCCATCCGTGACCCAGGTTCCTAACGAAGCCCTTGAGACTAGCTCTCAGGATCTATTTCCTTTACCTGTTAGTACCCTGCAAACATTCTCAAAAGGATGGTCCCAGGAGACTTGGGGCAGAGGGATTTGCTCCTCTATGGGGAAAATACATATCCAAAGCTCCTGAAATCTGCAGTTTAAAAGACTGTATTTTTTTTCTAGTTCACTTTTCTGGCCAAAGGAACCAATGCCCCAAGACTCAAAGAGCATAGTAATAATTTGAGATTCTCTTTGATACTAGAGAGACCTGAATTTTTCTAACTTTGTGGGTTTTGGTTTCCCTCTCAAATGCCTCTTGAGCACAAGGTTTGTCACCTGCTTCCTCTGAATAGACTCAGTTCCTTTAATGCCTTTTAAAGATCACTATCTGGAAAGCGCCTCCATTCTCCTTCCCTCTGCCAAGGTCGGATGCAGTGAGTGGCTGTTGGCAGAAGTAAATGAAAATGGAATACCACGTGCATTTTTTAAAATGTTACTACTTTCTCCCTATGGTTTTCAATATTTGGCTGGCTATATTGAATTCCATGTCCATTAATATTATATTTCTACATGCTTGTCTTGCTATGGTAATGAATTGAAAGACATGAAATTTAGCAGAGACATAATAATGGTCTTCAAATACTTGAAAAACTATCATGTTGAAGAGGAATAGAAGGTGGAATAATGTGGGAGGTGGTAAGTTGCAAGGAGTTGGTACTGAATCACGTTTTTCTGGGAATTAAAGCCAATCAAAAATAAAATTGATGATAGTACACCCACATGAATCTATATAATGAAATAGTATGCACCATTGGAAATAAAAAGAGTGAGACAAATCTACAGTAGAAAGTATTCAGGATATAATATTAAATGCAAAAGATAGTTGCAAATTGGTATGTGCAACCTAATTCTATTTGTATAAAATTGAAATGATATGAAAATATACATGATTGGATATAGAAATTTTCTGGACAGAAATAAACAACAGCAAAAAAAACCATGAATCATGTTTACTTCTGGACAAGAAAATGTAGAGAAGGAGAAAAATAACTTTTCAATTTATGTCTTTCTGTAAGTTGCTTTTTCCTTATGAGGATTTTTATAATTTAAGAAGCCTAGATTTATTTTTTTAAGTAAAGTTAGTATCTTACAAAAGAAGAAGAAGAAGAGGCAATGCTAACTTATAAGATAATGAACTTTCAATCATTAGAAGCACTGAAGCAGAATTTGAGGGGCTGTTCATTTTCAAAATTACCTCCTGGTTGGCCGTGGTGACTCATGCCTGTAATTCCAGCACTTTAGGAGACTGAGATGAGAGGACTGCTTGAGCCCAGGAGTTAAAGACCAGCCTGGGCAACATAGCAAGACCTTGTTGCCACAAAAATACAAAATTAGCCAGGTATGGTGGCACACATCTGCAGTTCCACTACTCGGGAAGCTGAGGCAGGAGAATGGCTTGAGCCCAGAAGACTGAGACTCTAGTCAGCCATGATCATGCCACTCCAGCCTGGTAACAGAGTGAAAACCTGCCTAAAAAATTAAAAGAGCAAAAACAAAATAAACAAACAAAAATCCTTCTAACCGTAAGTTTCTATAATTAGGTTACATTTAAAGGACTTGAAATCACAAAGCACCTGGTTCCAGCTTGCTTCCAATTAGAAAGATTTGAAAGATGAAATGAATAAAACTAACCTCCAGTCCAGAATTGGTTGTCAAGTCTAGGCAGAAAATTATTTGTCTAGAAGAAAATTTTTGAATTTTGTTTAAAGGTGAAGAGATATTTTTGGCTAAACAGCCAGAATCCAAGGGAACAGAAAATGGCTTAAAATGTTGCTTTTCTCAGTGGCTACATTCCACAGAAGGAAGTTGACATTTTGTTTCAGCTATCATAATCCTACTAATATAGTGTTATCACTCATGGTGGTCTTTGCCATCTTGATGAGTCATCATTTTCTTAAAGGGATGTTTTTGAGAGGGGAGAATGAATTGCAGGAATGCACAAGATCAATGCAGTAATTTCTCTTCTATAACTTATTTTTAAAATTCCCCTTAGTATAGGTAGGATTAACTTCATAGCTACATAAACATTTGACTTTTATCTTGTTCAGTATTACATCATGAATCTCAGTTACACAGAAGTGGTTAAGAACTGGCCCATCCCTACCTCTCCAAGAAAAATTAACACATATTTTGCTCTATATTTTTCTTGATATTTTGAAACTATTTTATATTTTTTCTCTGTCAAAATCTTTGGTAAGAAAATTTTAAGATCTGCCTTGTCAAGTAGTTATATCCCACTATAATAATTAATAGCCGGTATTAAGCCTGTCTTATAATATTTGGTTTATCATAATTTTTTCATTAATTTTTATTTTTAAAATATTTCATTAAATATTAGATTCATGATATATCAGGAGTATTCATGAAATAGAATTAAAATGTTTGTATTACTTAAAATATGAAACTATTAAGTAGGTAGAAGATAGATAGGTACTTCATACGCCATCAGAAAAAAATTTATTTTGGCATGTATTTTGGTATATTTGTTTTTTCTTTTTTTTGAGTCAGGGTCTCACTCTGTCTCCTAGGCTGGAGTGCAATGGCAGGATTATGACTCACTGCAATCCTGACCTCCTGGGCTCAGGTCTTCCTTCTACCTCAGCCTCCCAAGTAGCTGGGACTACAGAAACATGACAGGATGCCTAGCTAATTTTTTTATTTTTATTTTTTGTGAGACAAGGTCTCACTATGTTGCCCAGGCTGATCTTGAACTTCTGGGCTCAAGCAATCCTCCCAACGCAGTCTTCTGAAGTTCTGGTATTACAGGTCACCAAGCCCTGTCGGAATATTTACTTTTTTAATGGCATGTATATTATTGAATGTGTTTCTTTTCTTTGTGCATCCCTTTGTCTCTGCTTCTTCTCTTTTTATTTTCATAAAACTGTGGTTTATCTGTTATTTATCTCTCAATCAATCAACCAATCACTCTACCTACCTACTCATCTACCCTATTTTTCCATGTCAGCACTCTTTAGATGTGTAATGGCCACATAGTTCTCATCAGAAGGATATTTTTAAATTAATTTAATTATTTATTCATTCAAATTGCTTTTGGTCTCCACTGTCACAAACAGTTTTGTAAAAACTTCTTTATACATATATCCTGTTATGTATATCTGATCATTTTCTTAAGATAAATAAGTAAAAGTGGAAATACTAAGCCAAGGAGAATGAACATAAGTCGTCACTAATATGCTATACTCATATTTCATCTATTTAACTAGATGAAAAAATGCTAAAAATTTTTCCAGTTTTTCCAAATGTTTCCAGTTTTTTTCTTTTTTGGCCCAATGCAATCTCACTCTCAGAGTAAGAAAATTACATTAATTCTTTTCAATAAAAGCCACAGAAAAGTATCTTCTTCTCATCTATTTTGTAGTCATAATTGTTTTTAGGCTATTGTGATGTAGAACAAATCACACGGCCCTTAGAATTAAATAATCAGTTTAATTTAGGCGAATCACCTAAACTTGTGCCTTAGTAAGAGCTAATATATAGAATTTTTAAAATAAATGCAAAAGTTCTTTATAAACTAAAAAGTGCCCTAAGGAATTATTTATTATTATTATTACTATTATCTTTTTGAAAATAAGAGTTTTTTGATCCCAAATAACTCCTCAGATGAGAAATAGAGGGAGAAATGCGTAAACTAGTTTCCCCAAAGTTGCCCAGTTGAAAATTCTGAAGAAATTAGGAAAGACAGTTTAGTCTTGTAGTGAGGCAGAGTACCTGTGAAAACCTCACATCTAAGTACAAGCTAGAAAATACATAGAAATACACACAGTGCATGAGAACAAGTTACTGGGAAGCACTTAGCAACACTACACGGAACTTGGATTGGTAGGTTATATTTAGCACTGAGAAGATCTTCTGAGGAAGAAGAGACTTGAGTCAAGTAGTGAAAAAAGGGAAATATTTCATACTTTTAAAAAATATAGGGGCACAGTGGGTTTTGAACTGTTGAATGACTTGTGAAAAGGGTTCATGGAATATGCAGACAAGTATAACAGGGCAAAAGGAAACATTTATGTTGTATTGAAACAGAGTTCATTGTCTTTCTTGGCAACCCCAAAAGGAAAAGCTTTAAAAAGATGATCAAAACTGCAGTTTAAGCAACGTGGAAAATCTTGAAAATTTTGTTTTAGACAAAATATGAAACTGTAATCTAAAAGAAAATTCCCTTTAAATTTAACTATGCATTTTCTATTTCTTTAGGAGAATCTATGTTCTAAACCACCAGGAAATCTTTTTCAAAATTTCCCCAGGTGTCTTTCCTTCTATTCTATCCTGTTCCTGTTTATTCTTCCATACACTTATACATCAATTGCCATGCATGAAATTATTTCCTGATTGTGTTTTTCTATTTTTATCTATAGGTGAACAGTAGCCCCCATTAACTTGACATTCATCCAGGAACAGAATCCTTATCGTCTTCTTCTAGGTTTCCCTTGCTCATAACATTGGGCACTGATGTGTTCTGACTGATTGACTTACGTCTCCATTTTTTCAGTCTGGAATGTATTCATTGAAGAGAGAGAACCACACAGTGGTGAGTGAGTTTGTTTTCCAGGGTTTCTCCAGCTTTCATGAACACAAGCTCACTCTCTTTGTGGTATTTTTTACCTTGTACCTTTTAACCCTGGCTGGCAATGTCATCATTGTGATCATTATTAGCATTGATCATCACCTTCACACCCCCATGTACTTCTTTCTTAGCATGCTTTCTACTTCAGAGACTGTGTACACTTTAGTCATTGTACCACAGATGCTCTCCAGCCTCGTAAGTCTAAGCCAACCCATCTCGTTAGCTGGCTGTGCCACCCAGATGTTCTTTTTTATCACCTTGGCCATCAACAACTGCTTTCTTCTCACAGCAATGGGGTATGATCGTTATGTAGCTATCTGCAACCCCTTGAGGTACACAGTCATCATGAACAAGAGACTGTGCGCCCAGCTTGTAGGTGGGGCCTGCAGCATTGGGCTGTTTGTGGCCATAATTCAGATTTCTTCTGTGTTCAGGATGCCTTTTTGTAATAGAGAGGTGGCTCATTATTTCTGTGACATTCGCCCAGTTATGAAACTCTCCTGTGCTGATACGACTTTACATGACATAATTAATTTTGTTATTAGCTCCCTTGTTATTGTGGTACCCATGGGTTTGGTCTTCATCTCCTACATTCTCATCATCTCCACTATCCTCACGATCGCCTCTGCTGAGGGCCGGAAGAAGACTTTTGCTACTTGCGCCTCCCATCTTACTGTGGTCGTCATCCACTATGGTTGTGCCTCCATTGCCTACCTCAAGCCCAAGTCAGAGAACACCAGAGATCAGGACCAGCTGATTTCAGTGACTTACACTGTTTTTACTCCACTCCTTAATCCCATTGTCTATACTTTGAGGAACAAGGAGGTCAAGGATGCCTTTCACCGTGCTATCGGCAAAAACACTCTTGCCTAGAATCTTTGGCAGTTTGACATATAATCTGTCAGAGTCTGGGGATTTTGTGAGCTCAAGAAAATTGGATCCTATCATTCAACTTTTACCCAGAGAAAGTGGCAAAATTTGGTGCTGAGTCACCCCCAACTTGACTCTTGTTTTTACCATCATTCTCCTATACCTCCTACTAATTTCATAGGTTACTATCAGGTGAATGGTCAGATGCTGTTCTCAGGTGGAAAACTGATAGGGAATCATAAGCAAAGTGCAGCTGATTGTTATCAGTTTGTTGATGACAGGAAAGTGGGCTGCATGATACCTATTTGAAGTAACAGGTTGAAAGGTCAACCTAAATGTCAGATAGATATTGAGCTCTAAAACTTCAAAGAGGATGCAGTTGATGTACAGAGTATGTTGGAAACACAGTCAAAACCATTTTTCCCACTTATCATCACTTTCTCCTTTGGGCAGTCACAAGAGTAACAGACTCTGGAAGAAATATCATTAGCTTTAAACATTCTCACCTTGAAGACTCATGAAATTGTTTTCAATTTTGTGGAGACACACATTAGAACTATTCTCTCAGTGAGTCTTTATTACCAATGTGTTCAATGTTAATAAGCAACGTGGTCCCTCGAGCCTTTGCATTTTGTTGCACTTAATAATACTCTCTTTGGGAGGCTGAGGTGAGTGGATTGCCTGAACACGCGGGTTCGAGACCCGCCTGGGCAGGCAAGACCTCATCTCTACAATAAAACAAAAAATTAGCCGGGCATGGTAGCGCGTACCTGTAGTTCCAGCTACTTGGAAGGCTGAGCGGAAGGATCGCCGGAGCCCAGCAGGTTGAGGCTGCGGTGGCCAGGAGTGGCCACTGCACTCTAGTCTGGGCGACAGAGTGAGACTCCAACTAAAAAATAAATAAATAAATAATAAATAAATAAATAATAAATAAATAATACTCACTGTGGGGGTAACACATGCTACATTGTATTCACAAGTATAGGGATATTTGAAGATCTTTTTGAAATAAAATTTATTAATATCACCTCCCAGCTAACTCTTGCTATCTTTGATCTGGAAATTAGCTCAAAATTTTAATTCTTCTTGTGTAGATCATGACCTGCGGTCCATGTCTTGCCTTTACCCCTTTTATTTCTGCATAGAACTTATTTTCTGTGAATGGTTGGGTACCTAGTTTAAACTCTGAACACTTGTCTAAACTAGAGTCTGGGAGTCCTCCTCTCCTAGATCCTATTGTTATTGCCTTCTAAAGGTGAAGGTTATCTTGATTTGTGAGAAAACTCTAAGATTTTTGCAATTATTTGGTCTGGAGAAAAAAGTGATACAACTTGCCAAATGTCTTTCAGTCCATAAAAGACTGATGTAAAACAGATGCATATCAATCTGTATCTCTCCCTACCAAAAATACCCAAGCGTTCCCATTGAAAATGCATTTAATGTGCATATCAAACAAAGGACCTGGGAATCCTTAATGGTGGAAGGGCCAAGAAGGGAAGTCTTGTGTTTATGAAATATTGCCTGAAAGAATAAAATATTTGCTCCCTCAGAGCAGATACCACCAAGAGAGCAAACTGAGAGTGGATGCAAAGAGAAACCTCCAGGACAGTTAATCTTTGCCTTCATCAGTGTTTTCTGAAGATGCTTCTGAGTTTTTTCTGGGGCAGATATCAAGGAATCACTCTCAACAACCCTGTTCCTGTGAAAACTCATTTTGAGTTTCTTTATTCGGAGTTCTTGCTCACTATAGTACACATTACTGACAGCCTCTCACAGTAGTCTCATTGTTTTATTTCATTTAATTTTAATTTTAATTTTGCAGAGACTGGGTCTCACTATGTTGTCCTGGCTGGTTTTGACCTCCTGATGTTAAGCAGTCCTTCCTTCTCAGCCTCTCAAAGTGCTGGGATTACAGGCATGAGCCAATGAGCCCAACCTAGTTACATCATTTTTTATAGATTGCTGAATGTGAGTACAAGGAACCCCACAGAATCTTCTAGAGCTGCACTGGGCTCTAGGAGATTAGTGACTGGCACTAAAAGCAATGTGTTCCCCTGAGTTCCTGTAGCTTGATGCTAGAGAAAATTATGGTGCAATTAACCCAAAGTAATTTTTATAACAGTAAGCAATATATATTGAAGTTCTACCTAACCCATGTCTTTTTAAAATGTAGTTTACACCATCTCAAGAGAGTCAGAGAAAAATAAAATAGAATCAATGCATTTAACTTCAGAGATTATGCTATCATTACAATACGCAAATCATGGGAGACTGAAGCCCATATTTTGGGCTTAGTCACCACATAGCCATTCTCTTCATAAGTCAGGAAGTCATTCTCTCTAAAGGAGTGACACATCTCCTTTTAGAAGGAGCATATGATCCCTCAAGGTGATATCTCATATCTTCTCAATAAAGGCTATTTGCATCAAATTATCCCCCAAAGCAATCATGCTCTTGTCCCAAGATAATCTTAGCCTCTGCCTACACAGAGCACCTCCTTTTACACCCTTCCTCCCCACCAGCTTCCCATTCACCCAGAGTTCAGCAATTCCAGAGGCAGACACCCAGCTTGCACAGACATGGGTTAGGGAATAAGGAGATGAAAGAGCATTGAAAGTGACTGTAATATCCCCAGTATATAGCAGGTATATTCCCGTTTCATTGGCAAAGAGAACCTCATTGTACTAGGACTAAATGCTGTAAGAGAAGAGGCTGTGAGGACAATTGAGGTCTGTGAAGGCTTTCCCACACAGTGTGAAGTTCTGCAAGGGCTTCTTTACCTTGGGGATCAGAGACGCGTACGCTGTAGTTGATTTTTCAGGGAATATAAACACCTTCCCTCCCGTGACTGTGGAGAAAAGAAAATGTGACACAAACTCAGTCAACTCTTTTGTTTGAGTTGCTTTCACCGTGACCCCTGGGTTGCCTCCTGACAGAGTACATATAGTGTCTGTAAGTGCTGCATCTCAGTGACTCTATAAGCAAAATGCCAATGCTAAAAGGTAGGTTCGGTTCAGCGGTCCTGTATCCACCCCACCCCCATCTTCCTTCATTCAGGAGATTTCATTCAGATGAAACAGCAGACACCAGTCACACACAGCTAATTCTCTGAGCGTAATGGATCAAACATGTAGCACCCCATTCTCCCACCACAGTTAAGGTTCTGAGAGTCTCCTGAGAGAACTTGTGGTTGAGGTTAAGCAGACTGTTAATGGCTCACTTGGCGTTGCTGAACCAACATGCGTGGTCAGTACAAAGTCTGAAGAACAGAAAGTATGCAAATCACATGGCCCAGACCTTTGTCGTATCCTTGCCCTTCTCTCCATTCCCTTTTTACAGCTGTTGTGTGCCAATTCAGGACCAATTTTCCATTGTTTGTTTCCCCATGACTACAACACCAGGATCATGGAATTACTTATGATTGATTTATTTCCTCTTAAGGTTCACAAGAGAAGAGAACAGAAGGGCTTAATCATTATAAAATCAACTGTTTTTTCTTGCTTAGGAAAGCAAATTTAACAAATACTATGGTCTAGAAAATAAATGAGAGAATAATGCCTAGCTGAATCAAGGGAGACATAGCCTAGAAACACTATGAAATCTTGAATTGAGTTAGTTTTGCTTCATAGCAGGAAATGGAAAACAGCATGAATTCCTGTTTCCCTAGACGCAGTATCTTAAGAAATGCTCACCCTGGACAAAGACTAGAATCAGAGCACTTAGGAAGATGAAACTAAGAAGTGATTGCAGATTTTAAGAAAGAGGGAGAGAACTTCAGTCAACACAACAGGAACTAGGAGAATGGAAAAGTAAACCATGCACTTATGCCATGTGATCCAGTTATCTCCCTGCATTGTGATTTGTAACCTTGTCAGTATACAAACCTGTAGCAAAATAACAGTGCTTAGTCAGAGAGTGAGGTATTACATAACTTAATACTGACCATAATTCTATTAAAAAATAGTGTCTCAAACTTGAGAAGATGAGGTTGTACTGAGTGGCAATAATAAGAAAAAAAATAAAAGGTGCCAAAACATTAAAGTTTTTTTACAGCTAATAAAAAAACTTAATTTGTATAACATTTACACATCATAAAACACATTTTGCCGTTAACTAATCTCATCCAATCTTCATAACAACTCTTTACTAGACAGATGTCTTCACCCCCATTTTATAGATGATGAAACTGAGGATCAGAGTTTAGCAACATCATAAAGATGATTCAATTAGTTTGGGAGAAGCTGATTCTCTGATTTAAAGTCCAAGCTATCTCTACAATTTCATATTTTCTCTCATGTTACCCAAACTAAGCACTTGAGAAGGATCAGAGAGAGAATGTCCCCAATCCCTGTAACAACTTCTCTTTTACCCACATATCCCTTATTATCCTCTCAGGCGAGAGGTAATTTCTATACCACAAAGCCAATTTTCATTTTTTTTCCCCAGCCCTAAGGCTTCCTCATGCCAAGCATGTCCTTATTCATCAGCACTTGTGGTGGCTTAAAAAATATGCTAAAAAATAATTATCCTCCCCTTGAGTGTGGGCTGACTCACTTCTTATGAGCAGAATACAACAGGAGTGAATTATGTGATTTCTAAGATTAGATTGTGAAAAAGCCGTGGCTTCTGTGCTGAGCACTCTCTCTCCCTGTGTCAGATCACTCACTATTGGAGAAGCCAGCTGTTATATTATGGGCTGCTGTACAGAAAAACCCATGTGCAAGGGAGGTGTATAGCCAATAGTCAGTGAAGAACTGAGGCCCTCAATCCAGCATCCTGTAGAGAGCTGAATCATACCAAAAAGTACTAAAGTTAGCTTGAAAACAGATCCTCCTCTAGTCGAACCTTCAGATGAGCCTACAGTCCTGGTTGTTTGACTTAAACATCATGAGAGATCTTGGGTCAGAACCATCTGCTAAGTCTTTCCCAATTCCTTGACCCACAGAAAGTATGAGTTAATAAATGTTTGTTGTTTCAAGCTGCTGAGTTTTGAGGTGGATTGT